CTCGTGTTAGTTAAAGTTTCCCAAAGTCTTTGCGCAAAGACCTTTGTATACATTTCTAACGTTAGTATCTTCATTATGACTTCCGTCATATATTTCAACTTCAAGTTATTTTCAAACCAATGATCACATTAAATGTCTAAATGAGTCGATGATGTTTTCAAATTAAAAACAACTTAGTATAAAGTAAAGATTATATTCAAAATAAATGTAGGGGTAAATCGTCCAAAGTAACAAGAAGTTGAAAGCATTATGTTTTAGTCACCCGTCGGCTGACAGCAAAAGGCCATCTTACTTAAGGTCAACTTAGTAAGTTTAGCAACTCCACTAAAATTTTTATAAATCGAAATGCTACTTCACTATCCTTTTCCTCCAGTCTACAGTTTTAAATGTTATTACTATTACACTGTTCGATTTTCACTTTTAACATGACTTTTTTTTTTGGAATTTTATAAGCTACCTGAAAATGTAAAGGATATTGATGTTGCTATTTAAGAATCTAAATAAAAAATTGTATATTTGTACAAAAGAAGGATTTAAAATTAAAAAAAATAAAACAAGTAGTATTATGGAGGCATAAACTTAAAAAAAACGATTTTCCAGGAAACAAGTGTTACACGATATAAAAATCACTCTGAACAGTGCTAATTGTTTTAGAATTTTTAGATTTTACATCTTACTAATCAAACGTGTTGATTTATCTTTTTAGGAAAAATACGGGGATTTTTGAAACGATCAAATCGAATGCACCCCAAATCGAAACAGTCAGTTCTTATCCAACAAGCTATAAATCTTGTTCGATAGATATGCAAAGAAAAATAACGAGGGTGGTGGTACTCCATAAATTCTAATCGAGGCAAAACTAATTAAATCCGTGTTCATTGTTCGTTGTTTTGGTAAAAGGCCAATTGAATTCGGCGTCTCTTTTCCGTTTACAGCTCGGGGTAATTAATTATTTTTGTGTAACTATTTTACAAATAGTGTGTGTACGTCAGCTTAAGTTGAAACAGAAATCCAGTCGGGTACATTAAGGAAGAAATATTTAATATACTATAGCACTATTTACTTATTATTTATAACACTCGTACTAATAGACGTTTGGTTTTTCTTGAAGAAAGAATATATAATTTATTTGCTGCTAAGGCTGTTCTAAAATATAAGTTAAGAATAACAGTGATGCCGTAATTGCATGTAGTTTACGCGTTTAAAAAACAATACAATATATATAAATGATACCTTTGTTGGAAAAAAAAAAATTTTAACTTCAATGCGGAACTGAAAAGTTATACAAAAGAATAGTTTTTATTTGTTCGTTTGTGTTTAACTAATTTCTTTGTTTTAAGTATTGGTAATTTGTTAGGCCAAAATTTGAAAAGTAATTTTCTTCTCTCTTAAACTATGGAAAACTTTAAGTAAAAAAAATAACACATTTTTCAATGTTTAACGTTAATACGTTAGAACTTGGCGAAAAGTCGTTAAAATATTTTTATAGGCCCTTATCGGGACGCGGATTCAAAGGATCTTTCAAGCCCAGGTTTGAGACGAAGAGAGTTTATAGTAGATTGGCAAACGGTCGAGCGAATCTGTATAATTATATATTTTTATCGTTTATTTTTTAAATGTATTGTTGAGAAATTTGCTTACATATTATTTCTCTGCAACTGCGTTTGAGAATGAGCTAGATAAAAAAAAAACCTTTGTCGACCTTGATCAAAGCCGAGGCTTTGCGTTTAATTAATAATTAATTTGTACTCTTGCTTTGGGATGTGTGCTGGTTAGTAGCAATTACGGTGGTGGTGTACACGCGTTACTGTTCTAACAGCTACGGGGTTTTGCTTCCGTAGCCGTTTTGTGTTTATTTGATGTTTGATAACAATTTATGGGCGCCCGCGTGCTAAGTACGTGTGTGCAATTCGAGATTACCTAAGTCTTTGTCGTTGTCGTCGCCCGCAAACCACCCGAGTCCGCTCGTTTCCGGTTCGCACACAACACGATGATTAAAAGTTTTCACCGCAGTGGTTTTTTCTACCGCAGTATGAAATGTGCAGTGTATGTTTTTTGATAGGCTAACCCGGCAGAGACGCAGTAATGGCCGTTGTAATGATGCTTAATTGAAATGTTCACATTAAAAAAAAAACTTGCTTCTCTTTTGTTACCAGTCGACTGCGCTCTGTTCCGTGGAAAATATCATATGACGTCACGTTTCCCAATTTCACGGTGGATGAAAGCGGGGCCATGTTTATAATTTATTTTCTTATTTTTCATAAATAATTTCCCGCTATTACCGTATAGCCCCCGTACCCGACGTCGGTGTCGTGCACATTTTGTCTCGTGTAAAGGCAGGACTAATTACTAACGATCCAAGACCGTGGAATTTAATATTGTGCTCGTCGTGCGACGTTCCCCCATTGAGCCGAACACCCGTAACGTTACAATGTAATTGAATATTTTGAGTACGACATCACCTGTATACGCGTACATTGTTAACACCGAAGACCTTTTTTTTTCGGAATTCGTTTTTTATGCCGCATCCCTCCCCTCTGCAGTACAGTTATTATTATAATGAATTTAACATTATAATGATGTATAAATGATATCTCGTGCCAGCTACCGTCAAACCTCCGGATATTGAGTTTACCGAGGCGCGCTGCTTAACAATATCATATATATTATCTAAGAAGTTTTGTACGCATCAAACACATTTTCCTGTACAATTTAATACGATCAGCAGTTTTTATCATTCAAGATGTCGTTGATGAGTGTTGCCAACAGAGTATTTTATCAGTAAGATGTTGATAGCGTACTGCCCAGACCTGGACTGGGAAGGTTCTAGTCTATTGTTCTAGGTCAGCATGAGTCACATAATATTGTGTACTTTAGAAAATCTACAGGTTAGACAAAATCCGTAATTAAATAATCCTACAACTTAAAATTTTTAAAATAGTATACGTATAAACAACTTTTTTTTAACTTAAAAATTAATTATATTTAAAATCGTTTTGGTTCAAAATTTTCAAAATTCTTGACATCCGGATATTACACAACTCTAAGGAGATATATAGCAATTTACCATTGCAAATTTGAATTACTCACAGGTGGGTCTATCTCCCATCCACGGCAAACTGTACTTGTAGCACAGTAAACATACTGGCCCAGCGCGAACCTGGAATTGTCTTTAGTTACTATCAAATCGCTAAGGGTTTTAAAATTTAAATACCTTCTATACATTACACGTGTAGTGGTACTAATAATAATTATATGATGCCGTTACCATGATTTTAATGTAAGAAAATATTGAAAGATTATTTAGTAGTTGTTATTAGGAGGTATATAGGCTATAGCTAATAATATTTGAGATTTAAGTTTAAATGTTATAAGTGAATAACAGTACAAATTATAGTAATAAAGAAGTCTACTAGCTAACATAGCTAGGCAAACGCTTTGGCAAGCGTTTTAAATACTCACCGGGACAGTAGACTTTTCAGAACGATACTCCAGCGAGAAATAATTAATACACTCTAATGGAAACTTCACCCTCGAGCACATGCTTAGCTGTATAATATCTACTAAAAAATACAATGGGTTAACGACATTTGATATGAAAAATCGTACGACTATTATATAGTTTTTTTATTTTAAATATAATAATAATATTTTATCTTATAGTTGAAAAATGTATGCAAAACATAAAGTCGTTGATGAACATCACCCCAAGCAATATCTGTCGTTGGCCATAATGTAAACTATCATAAATTAAATCTTGTTTGTGGTGTTGAAGTTTATCGTGAAATTATTTTTTATTCGTTCACCGAATGTCGGAAAATAATGCAAGGGTTTAAACTGTTAAAACACCATTTAGTTTGTTTGAAACTAACTGGCATGTTTAAACAGCAATCCGACCTTCCGATACGGGCATTATACAAGCCAATACATGTATTTATCCTATCTAGAGTATTTATTTACTTAAAGTTCGGGTTTTAATAGCAATAGACAAAGAGTGAGATCCATACTGAACTGAATCTTAGGATTTAATGTATGCGTGCAAACAGAGTGGCAGAATAAATTATGATCTAAAAAAAAATTGTGTAATATAATAATATGTTATATGTATATGTTTACCACCGACGTTAGTTTCCTGACTTTTATGGGTTTATTTACATCTGCTATGACGATTTATTCTAAACGATCGTCCAGAGTGAACCGTGTTAACCCAGCTTAAGATAATGTCAGTGATGTCTTTGAGTTGTACATTATAATTAAAGCTCAAGGGTCCGATACGAATAGCCTTAGTGTCTAACATGTGGTGCCAAGTACCTACTAAAATCCACAGGAAGAAGTCTGATTAAATGTTGTGGCGCTTAAGTAAGATTTCTACGAGAATCGCGATGCGAAATGATGCCGAGACAGTTTTCCTTTAAAGTGCGTCCGGATGGGTGTGTACGAAACGATGGCGATTAATACAGTCGTAGGATTTTGTAACAGCTGTTTTAAGGGGAAGGTGAAGAGATTCATATGACTGTGATTTGTGACGGTAGAAATGATAAACTGTTTTTCATACACGGCGGTGTCGCGTCGAGACATAAAGTATTTGTTAACAAAAAACCCTACCCTGCGCCTTAACGGTGTCCTGCCTACCGCCCGTCGTTGTCTATTCTTTACCATTAACGGTGACGGGATATTTTATTATTACCACTTTTTTTTTTGTACCTCGGTAATAATTTTCCTCGTTCATAATATTGGTATTAGACCCGAAAATGTAGGTATTCGCGAGGACCGGAAAACGAGGGCTGAGCATAATCCCATTATGTCCCGGATTTAAGTGCACCGGCAATAAATTTCGCGGCAGTCCGAATGTTTAAAATTAATTTCGATCCCGTGCCACCCCCCCCCCCACACATCTCATTGCTCTCCACCGATACTACAATAAGTTGTATACACCCGGGACTTCCCAGTTCAAGGTTGTGTTCGTTTAAGACTCATTTATTTTATTTGTGTTGTTTTAGGACCAGACCAACCCATCCCGGACCCATTGTGCACCTGAGCGATAATCCTGCGGATTCCAGCAAGGTAAATACCTAATGTTATAATATAGTTTAGTCTTAATTATAAAATTAACAGCACTAATTAGATCACCTATGGATCGTGCGATTATTAACTTCGGTATCCAAAATCGTAATCACTGTAATAATTGGCTCGGTGGCGAATGTCTAACAGCTCCGGGTATATTCCGGCGATAGACAGAGCTGCCGCACGGTTTTTAATGGGCTTTCAATAACAGACCTATTATAACTGTATAACTGTATAATAAGTATGCCACATTATTGTATTGTTCCGAATAAACCATTAATATGGTTCAGACAATGAGCACATAATGCGCCTTCCGAAAAATGTAGTGCATTTGACAGTCGGGTAAGATTAACGCTGTCATAGGACAACAGTATTCTCGACTTCGTTCCGAACCAAAATATCAGCATTTCATTTTGTTTTAATTTAAATAATACTTTACTCTTCCAGTTTATTTTGTTAAAAAAAGACCATGCCGACTTTTAAAATTATATTTTATACAATTTAACTCAAAAAGGCATGTAACGTTACAACTATGAAATACATAATATTATAATGTTTTGTTATTTTTGTTAAAAGTATACAAACACCACTATTTTTGTTCATTAAGTATGAAAAATAGGAGCAATGTTTTTTATTTATAAAAGAATAGTTTTTTTAAATAATAAATTGACAGTGGCAGCACGGTATTTCAAAGTAAGACACTTGTGATATTTTACTTTATGATGTATAACTAAGTATTTTTATGTGAATGTTAAAAGTTTTCGTGGATTAAAAAATTATCTCCAGTATAACTTGTCCAGTTGTTTGTACTAATTGAAAATTTAATCTTCAGAAATGTAAAGCTCTAGTCAGATGATGCATGGCTAATATCATACGCTCTGTAAGATTAGTATTTGCCCTTAGTGCAAACAATAAAAAATAATTGGATACATCTACAAGCATTGTATATTTCTTAGCTAATAGCTGGACTATAATTTCCAACTTTGGGGTATTTTTTTAGATAATCCACTAAATAATATCAGTCTTAACTAAAATAATACTAGACGCCGTGTCTCCATGAATGGGTGGAAGGTTTTTCTTTATTTAGCTTTTTTTTTTAGGGTAGTTTTTAGACTTAAGGTCTAAAAATTAGAATAATGCTAGATCTAGTGTGTAATTATAAAGTTTAAAAAATGTTATTGCCACTTTCAGTTCTAATACTGCTAAGACCTGTGACTTGCCCGACTATTATGCTCCATATTATTCTTCTCTTTGCCCCAACCTAACTGTGCTAACTCTAAATTATCGTTTTATTAATTATCTTAGCTATTTCGAGCACTAGTTTATGCTTAGTAAGTACACATAAACTCCCAAAAAGTTGTCAGAAACTATGAATCGTATTCGATCAAATTGAAAATATCATTCACAATTTTTGGTTTTGTTTTTGAACCAGGCTTTCCGTTTTAATCTGTCTAACGGAAAATGACTTACATTGTAACCGTAACAATGTATGTAAAATTATAATTATTTTAAATTTGACGCTTTAATAAAATTTAAGTATCACTAATGGGGACTTATTTATCAATTAATGTACTACAGTGTTATTGTACACATATTATATCTTCACATACACTTATTGTGCTATTAAACTTTACAGATTTTATATTCTTCTGAATATAAAAAAAAAGTTTGACACTTAGTTTTTTTTAAAATTCTTATTTACTGAGCGTATAAACGTTTGTGTAATCTGTTTCTTCAATTTATAACTATTTTATTATACGCAGTGAAATAAATTAAATTATTTTTATACAATTCGTTTAAGTAGGACGCTTTATAAATAAGTTTATCATAATCATGTTTTTTTATTATGCGTTTTATCCAAAATTGTTTTTAAAAAATGTGTACAATACCGTTATACAATTATCCATAAAAGCTTTAAACATAAAAGCTTAATATTAGTTGTGGGTCCGGCCAATGGGCGGATTATGTAATGAAATGAAAATACCATATTCTAAAATTATTATTTTGTCCAGTTGACTGTAGTATTTATTTGTGAATATTTTTTAGAACTTAGATGTGCATAATGTATCTGACACCAGGCAATTATTCTGGACCTAAAAACAGTACAACAATTAACAGCATTAGGATTTTGTCTAGATGCAAGTTTAAAAAAATAATTAAAAAAGTACAATTTATGTTTACTAGTTGCTGATTGGATTTGAAACCGGACTGATGGTGTTGTGGGACTTAAAGACTAAGAAACCGGAATGCCGCTGGCAGTGGGGCGACTCCTTGAAGTCCATTGATTGGCATTTTGAAGGGAAACAGTTCACGTGCAGCCACAGCGACGGAAGTTTGACGACTTGGAATGTCAAACCTTCATCGAAACCGGCAAACATAATATACCCCCACGGTGAATATTAATTAGGTTAATGTTTATATTGAGGGTTAATTTATATCGAACGGCTTATCCACATTGTTCAATCTGGATAGATGGGTTTTGATCAAATCCAGAGATTTCGGTGTTAAGAAAGGGATCAATGTTAATCGTTATTGATTAAATGTCGTTTCCGATGGGAATTAAGTTTTGTTAATTGATGCGATCCGATAGTTAATGGATCTTTTATTTGTCAAAAATACCAGCGTGATCCGAATGTATGATATCAAATATGGTACCAGTACTTATGTGTGATACCGCAGTCAAATTCAATTTTTAACAGTTACTTAGTACATTTATTGATTAATTAGTACATTTAAAGCCTACTTAAATGTGTTTTCATACAAATGACCCGTTTTAGTAATGTTTCCCAGGTAAATAACAATAATCATTTCTAAAGAATGGTTTTCTTTCGAGCTATTTTTATCAAAGATCCATCCTCGTTTCATAAATTTACGGCCACTGACCATTATAGTATAGTCTACTGCAATGAAGTCACGTTGACAATATTTTTTCATTTTATGTGTGTGTATGTATAGGTACCAATAGAGATTTATATTGGTTGTACAACGAAGTTAACGATTATTACGGCTAGGAAAAAATTGTTCCGATCGAATACTTCCCTAATTGATATAATGGGGGAATTTCCACTGCGGTCTGGTCTGAAACACACATTACATATTTTTCTCAACTGAATCATCCCAACCGAGACCAAAATTCTCTCGAGTTAATCTTGTTGTTTTATTTATTTTTTGTTAGCTAAAACCAAAACGGAAACTTGCAAACCCATACAGAAAGTTGAATGGAAATCTTCGAAATCCGGGTAAGTTCTCTAGAGGTTTGAGCAAACAATAATAATACCCTTCGGTAGGCGTTTCCTCGCCGTCTTCGTGTTCCGATAAAGTTAAAGTGCTGACTCTTACTCGATATTATTATCGGATTCCTCCTCCGTTCCTATAATAATAATAATAATAATATACAGTGTACGCATAGTGTATATTATATACACTATGCGTATAACAATTTATCCCTTACTTTTGATCGCATGTACGATAATAACATATATATATATATATGTATATAATATCTTTCTTAACGAAAATTATTCCTATACTACTATATTACTGTGTCGTTCTCGCGGTTTTCTATTTTATGCTTTTTATTGCCAGCGAGTCCTATTTAATATTTTCCGGAGGACTGACTGCCGATACCGCTGGCCGCGTGCCCAGCATAACTATCATGCACGGGAAAACGACTACTGTCCTCGAAATGGATCACAACATCGTCGATTTTGTTACGCTATGCGAAAGCCCTTACAACAGCGGTAAGTACACGGCCGTAATGGCGAACGGTTTTTTTTTTTTTTGTTGAGATTTTGCACCAACCAAACAGTCTAATACATAGTGTTGTAATTCGCACATTGCAGTACATGGCAATGAATCACTTGATCATTTTATCAGCTATCATCATATTATAATATTTCAGAGCCCAATGATTTTTCTAATTCCCTAACGGATTTTCCAATTGAGGTTTATAATAATAATTACAATTGGTATTGTTTTTTTTTTTTTTTTTTTTGGAAATGTGTTTTCTAGACGTGCAAGAGCCTTACGCCATAGCAGTGCTCATGCAAAACGATCTTGTGCTAGTCGACTTGCTCAGTCCCGGATACCCGTGCTTCGAAAACCCTCACCCCATGGACATACACGAGTCGCCAGTGTCTTGCGTGCATTACATAGCCGACTGTCCGTCCGACTTGATACCCGCGTTCTACTCGGTCGGATCGAGGTCAGCTTCCAAACGGACCGGCTACAGCGAGAACAAGTGGCCTATTGCTGGTGGCGAATGGAGCCCCACGTCGTGCAGCTATAATGAAATCATCCTGACCGGGTAAGTACTACTTGTGGGGTGGTTTTGGTCCATGAGACTTCCTCCTTTAAGAAAAAAATATCGCCTTAACTGAGAATGGTAATTAATTTAAGACTTTCCTATTGTAATCCCAATGAATGCGTTATTGACATAATATGCGCTGATGAAGGTTTTGACGAGCAGCTTTCGTGGGTAGTTATTTTATGCAAGTGCATTATCGATGAATATATGTTAAAGCCAATTCGCAAACAAAACTAATTTTAATTTGTAGACGTTATCGCCTATGTTTACTCATTCAAAAGCAGACGCATACTTGAGATTCTTAAAACTGATAGCATCATAATATGAATCGGGCCTTTCATTTATTTTCTTTTAATGTATCTTAATCACAAACGTAATCCGCGTAAAGCTCATTTCGGTTAATAAGATATAATAATACTATTTAGTGATTGAATCATAGAAAAGACACTAAAAAACACGAAGTGATTGACATATAATTAGTTAGGTAATTAAGTTTAAAAACTTCTATTTCCAAGAGCAACCCAAATTAAATTAAAACATTTTTCGTACTAAGTAACAAAAATTATAAGATATAATTATTAGTATAATTTGACATTAAGTGTTCTTAAAACCAATACAAATGTTTATGACCGCATTGATAAAATTAGAAAAACGTAATACTTTTTTACAAAATTTGACTTTTGTAGTTTTATGAAAATATGCATCATGCGGTTGTATTTGTAATTTTTTTTTTTATAATACTCGTTCTGATATTAATTTATTGAGAGCTTAATGTTAAAAGTAGATACCTACCTACATATATAGACTACAAGTTAATGTCACGATTACGTTTAATATAAATGTGTATTTATTCAATATGATGGCTTTTTAAAAAATTAACATAAAGTAGGGAATTTTGTAGAACCATCGAATTGTTTATGGACCCACTTATGAAGTATAATATAAGATGTGTCTTTTTTGTTTTGCTCCAACAGCCACACAGACGGCAGTGTTAGGTTTTGGGACGCTAGCGCTGGTAGTCTGCAAGTGCTGTACAAATTGAAAACCGCCAAGGTGTTCGAAAAGTCTCGTTCAAAATCTCCCGACGGAGCCGAAGATGATCAGTTTTCGGTGCAACTGCTGTCGTTTTGCCCGGAGAGCAGAAAATTGGCCGTGGCTGGTTCATCGTCGTACGTGGTGCTATTCAAGTTTCGTAAACTGGAGTCAACTTTTGAGACAACGGTAACATATTTTGTTTTGCTTGAAATAATATAAACGCCCACAGCACATTAACATACACAACTGCACTGTATTGATGCTTACTATACTAAACAAAAAACATTAGTTGTTAGTAGTAAACCAACTATGGACAATTTTCAATTTCGGCGAGTTTGAGGAGGATTAGTGAACAATACTAAAATATTATTTCAATAAAAACCGCCGTTGTTGGAGGTTAGCTTGAATTTCGCTCGATTTTTATTCCGACCCTAGAATATAGAATAATGATAAATCCGTAAGACATAATACGGAAGCGTGTAAATGTCTGTATTTCTTTGTTTGGAAATTTATATAAACAAATTAGCTCTACTTATATAATTGTCTGGTTGCAAACTGCGCTTCTCTTTTGGCTTCGATGCGGAACTGAGTAAGTGTTGTGTACAATGATGTGTTTTATTTTTTGTTTTTTTTTTGTGGCTGAGCGATACTTTTTAGACAGATTTCATCATGTAGCAAGTCTATAAATCAGAAAATGTTCCTAAAATGTACTTTACTATCGGTATACGCTGACAAACCATAAAAATATCAAAAATACATTCCCCGGAAGAAGTAATATTTTGGGATTTAAAGTCTGAAAATTAGACTGAAGGTAGATCTAGAGTGAGGCTATAACATACACCATTTTCTCAAAATCCGTACCCAGACTTTTTTATTTTTTGGATTAACCAAAATTCCACAAAAAGACGAAAATTATACTTTGACCATATTTCATTTCCAGGTTGCTATGTTTGAATGAATCAACAGTCAACAAGTAACAAAAATATATTTAATTATATTGATAATTACTATATATAGGTATTACAACAACAACAAATTATGATAGACAAATGACGAACTTATACCACCGTATTCACTCTTATACTAAAATAACAACTTTAAGCACATTATTGTCTTTACAATGATTATTATTAATATTTAATATTTGTACCATCTACAGATTCGCATCGAAGCTTCTTACTTGAGAGTGATTCGTCACTCTCGGCTATAATAATACCTGCAGCCCTCCTGTTAACGGATAAATCCATATTATGTGTCCTCTGCCCTAATTGATTTTCCACGGCAAAAATAAATCCATTTAGTTCCATTAGTCGCATCGGACGTCAGATCCGGTAGGAAAATTTGTTAATAGAAACAAATATTGAAACATACCGCTTTGTACAACCCGTTTAATTCAAAACAACAATCGGTCGTTTGGCATACGTTTAATACAAACTTTACAGATACGTTAGTTTCTACTTTTTTTTTTGTGTGGGTGTGGTAGAGAACGATCTTATCGATTGTAGATTGTCTAAGATATGTAACAAAAGCGATTGATAACGACGTATTACCACTAGAGGATACATCAAACATTTGGGAATTTTGCAGACGTTGGAAATACCGATATATACGGAGAGTCTAGACGAAGCAGCCGAAAGCTCACCAGAAGAGACGCCTTCAAAGCCAGCCACTACCGATGACAGCACCATTCCGGTCAAAGTGCGAACCGGTCCCCAGAAAAAGCCGCCCGGTTTCCAGGCTTGTCTGGCATGTGTCACCCCATCGGTGAACGGCGAACCGCCTGGCCAAATAACCGCACTAACAATTAACTCCTCGTACGGATTGTAAGTATGACTTCTGAAACGAACGAAAACCCTATCATTATTCATAATGTCTATATTTTTACACTCCCTGAAAGTGGTGGTCGCATTAAGCATCGAATAATTGTTTCACACGTAGGTATAACGAGGGCCATAACCACTTACGGTGTTATAGTTCAAAAATAAAAACTGTTTCATATAAAATGCTGTAGTCTGAAACGGTTATCTTCCTTCGACCGAGTGTGCGGTCAGCTTGAATCGTTGATTTTGTTGTTATTCGTTCCTTTTTTCAACTATTATTCGAGATGAATTAGCTCCTTTACTTTAGCAATCCCATTTGCAACGCGTTGAGAGACAGTTGCAACAGTCTCTTGTATGGGACGTCCCTCTTGGTCTTTTTGTGCTTGGTTTCCATTTTGTAACCTGTTAATAATTGGTACTTCGATCTCCACACTTGTTCAACTCCCCGACTTGCTATGCTTCATACAATTTTCTTTTGTCAAATGCTGAACATTTTCAAAACGAAACGTGACTTAGCTTCTTTTGTTCCCGTTTTATTTTTGTATCATGGTTTCAACAGAAATTTTGTTTTTGTTTCTGACCCACTCATTTGCAGGCTGGCCTACGGTCTAGACAACGGTATTGTGATAGTAGACTTTATACAAAAACATGTTCTCTTAAACATCAACACGGCTGAGCTGTACGGTAGTGCGGATCCAAACCAAAGGGCTCCCAGGTCGCCGAAAAGAACGACCGCTTTCAGCGAGACCAGTGACGGCGAACGATGCCGGTCTCCCAGCATTGATCAGGTAATACAAATATTTCAAACATATTTCTATATATCCTATAAATGAAATAATACATATTTTACCAATGATAATTGTTTACTTCGCACATACATATTTTTATACAAACATAAAAACTATCAAAAATATTAGCACACAAAAAAACCATCGATACATTTTTCCCCATTCCATACTAAGAATACAAAAAGGTCATCATAGCATTACAACTATTCTCATATTCTCTACCGTATACTCTATTAATTACTACAAAAATAACTCCTAATACATAATAGGCCGCGTACTTTTTTTGTAGATAATTTTCATTCGTCAGCTGTAAAACGGTTGCAAATACTGCAGTATTGGGTGGTTTTTTCCAAGCTATAAAAAGTTACTATATAATGCAATTACATAATTTGTCTACATGTCAATAGCGGAAACGGATCGAGAAATATTTCTTGTTTTCAGTAATATTTCTATAGACAATATCAGTCTTACGCCCTATTATAATTACTTATAGGCAGGGTCAATTTTTTTTTTTTTTTTTTATAATAAAAATTATGAATAATAATAATAATAATAATATTGATAATGAACACAACACACAGTCTTTTATTTTGTTATTGGTTTTAATTTTGTCGAATTTTTGTATTTTAATCCATCATCATTAGCGTCAAAACTGTCAATATTATGATTGAACATTTTCGATTATCCGCATACGACTATTAATTTTTAAATAAAAACAATTCGTTTGAGAGCGGTTACAGCGGTTATTACCTATATTATAATATACTTAATACACGATGACGAGACGCACTAAGATTATAACGATAAGAAATTTGTCGATACCAACCGCTTTTGATTAATACACGGGGGGTTATTATTATTTTTTTTTTCAAACGCTCTCTATTCGCGGGGTTGTCTATTCAGCTGATATACAGCGATACTGACAGCCGACAGTTTTTTAGTTAATCGTTTCACCCCGTTGTTTTGATTCGAGCGAAAAATGACGAGTCCCGCCCGACCAAACTGTAGAGCGAAAAGAAGATGCAATTGTTTGACAGGGACAAAAGTAATTTGCTTATCATATACTATGTTGTTGTGGCGAAAACGAACGCAACGTATCCATTCGAACGGAACGATACAACTTTTCGACTACAAAAACACTGTTACCCCGCAATATCCGGACAAATAATACTGGGACCGGGACGTTACAAACCGTTAATCTCTGACCGATTTGTCATTGGGTCTACGGCCGGTACGAATTGGGTTTAAAAACTTTATTATGTCCGGCTTGCTCGTCGTACCGTGAGTCTGTTACTGTGGATGATTAATAGACATATAAACCAGTATTTCTCTCTTGCTGTGTACTACATTACAGCGTATTTCTCAGAGCTTTGCGTTGTCGTTCGACTATAGGTTTATGATTTATTCACACAACATTCAAGACACTTTCGGTGACTACACATTTTTACCAGCAAGTTTTTAGGGCAGACTTTTACTTTATGACGACGCGACGACGTAACTGTATAGCTGTTGTCGTCGTGCTTTTTCGGTGCACTTTGGTGGCCGTTGTTTTTTTTATTTATCACATAACGTTATTATGCACAGCTTCGATAATTACAAAATATGTTACACCGACAACTGTCTGGCCAACTGGCGTGTGTACGATTTGCCATTGTAGTTTTAGCCAAGCGAAGGTTAGGTTACTTCTAATGACTGTCGCTCGGACCATCGCGTTGGCGTGGTCGGCGTTGCAGTCGCATGAACGTTGCGCGTTTCAAGGGTCTAGAAGACGAAGTGGACGAATTGGAAGAGTTGAGCAAACTGGCGCTGAGTCCGGTGGGCGTGTACTCGACTCAGGTATCGCCGAACCCGTCGGAATGTCCGGACGACGCCACTGAAAAGGCGGAAGAGGCGCTCGTGTTGATACCGGAACCCCAGGAACAACAGGCGGACTCGGAAGCGCCAGCGGAAGAACAACTGGCTGTGCCACCGGTCGCGTCCGGGGCGACCGCCGCGGCCAAGGCTAACGGCCGGCGGACCAGTCACTCGTGGCGGGGACTCAAGAAACAACTGAGCCGGGTCGATCTCAAGCTGAAGAACACGTTCACCGCGGCCTCGGCTCCCGCCAAAAAAGCGTCCACGTTTTACACGACCGAGCAGCAGGCGGACGCGACCGACGAACCCGGGCCCGGCGTGACCGCGGTACCGCAAATAATAACCGAGTCCGAGGTCCAAGAGATGTCGTCCCCCCGGGCTGACGGAACCGGACCGGAGCCCTCGGCCGAGTCGGCCACGGCCGCCACGGTGACCAGGCCGACGGAGCTGAAGCTGTTCGACCGGGACGGCAAGCCGATCAAACCGCCGAGACCGGTCAAAGAGCACCGGAAGCGGACGTCGCTCGACAAACAGGCGGGCGCGTGTGCCATCGCCACGGCGGCCAGGGACGCCCGTTTGCTGTCCGTGCCGAACATCAAGTACAGCCACAGGGATCTAAGACACAACCGGTCCAATAACCAAGCCTTCATCAACCTCCTTAGACGATTAAGTAAGTCAATGATAATAACAGTCAAAACCACACAATATAACAACGATGACATAATACACACCGCGGAGACGTCGATACTTGTTTTGTACTAAAAAAATAACAGGATAAGTTATTTTTTACGCTTACTAGTCGATTGACTAAGCTTCCTCATTAATATACTCGTTACACACACACACACACACACACACACACACACACATACATCACATAAACTCATCGTCGTCTCCCAAAATAATAACACTATTAAAGCATTGTTGCCAAACCGGACTACAACAAATGTACAAAATTATCCAATTAACAAAAGTAACGGACAGTGATAAATGTACACACACAAGAATATGATAAACATTATAATATATTATGCAATGTACTTTATCGAGGTGGAATACAGAGCCCTGCATGTATTTTTTTGTATTTTAACATAATATTATTATTCCATGTTGTTCTATATAGTATTATTGACCGTTATAATTATTTATTATCATAATAGCTGGGTGGTAAAAGTGCCTATATAATCATCAAACTAACACGCATAATTTCACATTTAATACTTTCATCATTTTATATATCGTCTATACTAATACATTGTTTATATCCACACACTTGTTTTATAAAACGTAAACATCTTTAAACAATAATATCATTTGTGAAATTCGTGTGCATCTTTCCGTTTTTCTATAAAAAAGTAATCCCAATATGAACTAGTTGATCCCATTGCATTACTAAAATTAATTGTTCATATTGATCGTTTTGAATCAAATTTAATTCAAACTTTCATTCGGATTTCGGTTTTCATTATTTCTAAATAATTAATGTTTTTTAAAAAAAGGGTTAGAGTAGATCGCTATGCGTTGTTTACAACTGCCACCATTCGAGTAAACCCGTTATTGTGCATATTTGTTTACGCTTAGTTTTATAATATATACCGACGATATTAAATAACAAAATCATTTAAAAATGCATAATTTAATATACACACACATGTAACTGAATATAAGAGTATTCTATTAAGGATAAACAATAAACATAAACAGATTTTTATGTATCATATTTAATAGTAGTAGGCATATTAGGAGTCAGTTGGAAATCCGCTGTAGTTTTAACTGTATTATTTTGCATACATGCATACCATAGTGTTTTATATTTTTATTGGTTTTAAAAGCAAAAAATTATTATATTTGGGTAACTGCGAACAAATATTATACTGTGTATACCTAGTTTTAGTTATATATTTTTCAATAATTCAATTGGACTTGATGGCCTGCAAAAATTAGAGTAAACATATATAGCATGTACAATTGAAATTTGTCTGTTATAAAATATATAAATAATATTTCTTTATTCGGCAAGTTTTATATTGTTTTATTTTAGGTCTTGAGTAGAATAATAATTAGAAAAAAGTTTTTTGTTATATTTTTATTTTGTTCAATTAAACATCTTAGTATTTTGAATATATAATATATATATACTTTATGTTACGCTTTTAAATTTTTATATTAGTCGAAGGATTAAGTTTCGTTTTATTAATATTAATAACATTTTTCACCATCAATAAATATTTGAAATTTTGTTTCGTTGATTTTTTATGAAACATCGATTGAAAAAGAATGGCAAATAACCGCAATAAAAAGGGGTAGGAATTGAACAAACAAAAAATACATTGTTCAGATTCGCTTCCATTTAAAACTCCAGTAGACATTGATGCATTGATGTCGTTTAAAATAAAATAAAACAATATTTTTATGTAATGACTTGTTGAATGAAAAATGGTACACTACCCCAGTTTTCAAATGTGTATTTCAATTAAACAAAATAATTGATATGACTGTAAATACTATGTTATAATAATGTGCGTTTTAATATATTTTTTTTTTTTTGCCATTTTAGAGTATTTATTTTATACACATTGAATAATACAAATATAGGTACACGGGTATAGAAGGTTGTCAATACTTTTCCGTGACGTGGCCGTATATATTTTCATGTTTGATACTCTTTGATTTTATTTATCGTTTTAGTGTCGAATACATTCATTGTGTATTCGATATAATACAATTTTTATTTAATTGGCAAATAATGCGCTTTTGTATTTTTAACGATAAATGTTACTGTGTGGTGTGTTCAAAATTAGTTTTTCTTACAAAACAATAAATAATTGAATAAATTGGTTTGAAAGAATAATAATAATAATATACTATAATAATAAATGTTTAATAATTAAATTTCCATGTTCTTTTATAACATAATATGAACAATATCTATACTATTATCTAAGTAGTTTTCATTGTAAATAACATTATTGTGCTCTGTAAATGTTTCAAGGAAATAAATGAGACGCGAGAGAGCTGCCCCGACCATAAAATTGGTATATATGTCTTTAAAATTTCATGTCATTTTTATTTTTTATTTTTCTGCTGTGTTTGGATCACGAAATTTTTTTTTCCTTAACATTTTTTTAACCACTAACAATATTCATTATGGAAAATGATTGTCGTTTATGCGTTAAATACATATATACATATACAATGACAATTTTTATGTATTATTATTATTAATCGCATGGGTTATGGAAAGTTGTTTTATATACTTATTTGTTGGTTAGCGTAAAACTATTAAGTATGCCAGCTTTAATAAACAACATGACAAGTTCTATGACAATGGAAACTTGATTGACTCATGTATGTAATATAATATTAACTAACTTAATTTGTTTTGATGAATTTCTGAATACTCTCCAATCGATACTAATCGAACTAACAATAGAGTATTTTGTTTACACGCTGTATAAATTTGATCGCTTTAAAAACATCAAGAGTTCAGAAATTCAGTACAAACACTTGCTAACCATACAAATGAATATTGTAAAGCTGTTTTTTTTTATTCAAATTTGCCTGAATTCACTAAAAATGAATGTACATAATATTATAAGCTGGGCTTAACGTACGAAACAAAACAAAAACAGCAAAAAATTAATTTTGTTTTTAAGCTTGGTTTTTAGTTCAGTTATTGATTTGTGTAAATAATATAAAAGTTTATATTAATAAGTTAATGTAAAAAAATTATCGAATCAGGTGATCGCCCAAATGCCAGTATTAACAATTAACATAATTAAATTATTTTTCTACATAGGGATACGTTTAATAAATTTAATTATTTTAAATATCGTTTAAAGAAAATGTATAATTTAGGTTTATTGTTTCCGACATTCTCAAATATCCTGACACGCGAATAATGTAAGTTTTCCATCTAAAATATAGTCATTTTTCCTTTATAGTAATTTATATACTTAAACTCGGTGAATCCTAAGCGTTTTAAAAGTTTTTCTTCGTGCAAACGTAAGTTTAGAGAGTTTACCCTTACCATGCAAAGAACGGTTGCAAACAAAACGCTAGAAAAACGCTACGGTATACTTTATAAAAAGCACACCAAAAAAAAAAGTCTTCTGAACGAGTATTGGTGCCAGTATCGTGTGGTCAAAATTATACTACAAAATATAAATATGTTCAAAACAAAAAAATTACATAATATGCACACAAAACGACGAGAAATAGTTTTCGATCATAATTTAACTACCACACACGCCAAACATAAATATTGATCATAGCTTCTTCATTCCCACCCGTTTTGTCGGTAGTTAAAAAACAATATAGGTAAAAAAACTTGACCCCTAGACTACTTTACCGGATGTCGAAGAGAAGCGTACACCCATTAAAATTCCCCATAATTCCCCATATGACCACTCCCCAAAAAAATGAAATTAGCCCTTCTGTTAAACTTGCTGGTCGCTTAAAAGGCATAATAACAAAATAAATCGTCTCGTTAAAATTGAGTTACAAAAATAAAAAATAAAAATAAATGTTGTCCATAAGTTTTTAAAAATTGTTTTTAATAATTTCATAACTATTTTTGTTTCTTTTTATCAAATATGTTGTGTTTATTGAAATATTTCAATAAGAAACTAATGATATTAAAATGGCATTGCTCAAATAAAATAATATATTCAAAAGCATTTATAATCAACCAATTATTATTGTTGTGTGGGATATTTTTATATCTAGTATAAAAAATTTCACTATTTTTAATAATCTGCATAACGTTAAATTGTAGGGTTTTGTGCAGAATCGTTTTGAATTTTAGAGTTCGCGTTTCGAAATTTAACAATAACAATAATAGTAGTTTTTTTTTACATAAGTCTTAAACCGTAACGTAGGCAAAGAATCGCCGCTTTTGTAGCCTAAACGAGACAAACAAACATGAGAAAACAGTGAATAAATTATAACTAAACAAGATGGCGGAGATCCATACACGCGATACCGACAGTTGATCAATAATAAAAACATACGTGTACCGTTTATTTTATAACTCCATCACAACAATAATAGGATGGTTTGGCGTTATTTGTCCGGATTGCACCACCGTTTAGAATATAATATTGAGAATGTTTTTTCCGTCTATTGAACTGCTATAGAAAAAAAAAATAATCGTTTTTTTTTTAATATACTTTTGACATTGTCTATTTAAATGTCGGCCGGTGTCGTACATAATTATATTAAGACCACCTGTTCGAAAATGGCTTAAACCAGACAACAGGATTTTCTTAAACTTTTCAGATACTACTAAATTTGACAAACTCGTGGGTGGTGTATTAGATGAAAAGAATAATAATATTCTGCATTTGTTACTATTTGAGTTGAAGTAACGAACGCCTAAAACTCATAATAGTGACTGTATTCAAACAAGTTTTTGTCAATAAAACAGTTTTCTATCTATATTAGCAATATTACTATTTCGTAAATTTGTTAGGCATTTAAAATAATTAACACCGCTATAATAATATGTACATGGTATAATTTTCATTTTATTCTTCAGTATAAAACAAAATTTTATCCCTTTTGAGTTTTGATTCTTAAAGAATTTTTTCATTCATGAAAATCCTTATGTTTTTTCTTATAGTATTTTGTTATGATGATGTTCGTTTGATATGTAGACAGGGCCGCGTA